GATAGATAGATAGATAGATAGATAGATAGATAGATAGATAGATAGATAGATAGATAGATAGATAGATAGATAGATAGATAGATAGATAGATAGATAGATAGATAGATAGATAGATAGATAGATAGATAGATAGATAGATAGATAGATAGATAGATAGATAGATAGATAGATAGATAGATAGATAGATAGATAGATAGATAGATAGATAGATAGATAGATAGATAGATAGATAGATAGATAGATAGATAGATAGACTGACTCTGTACTTTATATGTTATCTGTCTAAATCAGGTCTGTTTTGAAAATGAGTCCTTGTGACTCAATGAGACTAACCTGTATAAATAAAGGTTGAATTAATATCCAGATATTAATTCCTCTGAAATCCATGTTATTACAAAAACAGAAGAGAGGTTCCAAAGGGAAACAATTTGCCCTAAATATATTTATTTGTGAAGTTAAAGGGGTGGTTTAGGGTTTCGTTCTGAAAGTTTTTATGTAACCACATGTGAAACGTGGAAATGTGTAATGCAAAGCAAATGTGGAAATACTTTCCCCAAAGTCTATAACAAACAGCAAATGGTTTAACATGTAAAACACAGTGAAACTTATTCCTTTATGAAGGATTCACATGTAACTCCACATGTTCATTTACATGATTTTAGAAACCTTATTTCAGTCCGAGCTCTAACTAAATTATTCAAGCAGAGGCTGTAACACAAATTTTCAAAAACAAAAATAAAATGTGTGACATTAATGTTAGAACGTGTTTTTATGACTGTGCATAACTGACTGTGTTTTTGTTTTGTAAAAACCTGCTGTTTTAAAGCAAAATGTGGACATCCTTCTTTGAACTTGATTTACCACCGAAACATCACAGGCACCAGAATGACCTGAAACCCAACATCAACACTATTATACGTAGTGCTTGCGCCAGCTCACTTAACATAAAGTTTTTGATGTACAGTGCACTTTCTGCACAATTCAAGCTATGGATTGACAGAAAAAAAAAATACTGAAAGAAGGAGAGCGCTAAGTGAACAAGGCATCTACGTAAAGAAGTGCCATACAGTTAGTGTGCTTTTAGGGGTCAGCTCAGACAAATTTAGCATTCATATCCCTCCATCAACAAGCACACATAAATTTTAGATGTTCATTTTGTTACGATAAAATTGGTGAAGTGTATCCTGAAAACCTTTTATGGTGCGGAACAGAACCATGAAATACAAGCGCAAGTGACAAGAGTATGAATTCACATGACTTCACATTTTTGCATTTTCTCAAAGTGACAAGTAAACACCTTAAATCTGTAATGCCATATGCATTATGCATCATCTGTGTTTTGACATCCATCATTTTGTGCTGACTACGGCAAAATGTCAGCTTATAGTGCCACGACCAGGAAAACATGAGGCTAGGATTATATTCAGGTCACAAAGTTTTAAAAGGCTTGCAGATTCTGTGTTTGTGTGTGTGCACGCATCTTCTCTTGTCGAGAATCTAAATGAGCTGCTCACATTACAAAAGACGTCGTTCAGCTTTTTGCAACAGAAAAAATGCCAACTAGTTTGGGACGAAGCAGGAAACACACACTGAACTGAAGCGCAGATGATCATAACTTTTGTTACGCCAAATATTGAACCAGGTTTGACAGCGTTACTCAACCAGAGAGCAAAAGCTCAAATAGTGCAGAACTCTGCCTTGTCGATGTCCATTAAGGTTGATGTTTTTCCCACTGCAGAGTGACAGCCCATTTTTCAGATTTTGCTTCTAAAACTCTGTTTTTTGTATCAGAGTGAACATGAAGGCAGCGCGGAGATGTAGACTCAGTTCTGCACAGTTCATACATGAGGACGCGATGTAGGAACCTGTTGCTGTGCTGCCTTCAAAACTTGTTTGGTCACAGCCCAAACGCTGCATTTCTGCTTGAGCTAAAATAAAATAAAAAAACAACAACTGCTGCATCTCTATATTCAGTGCTCAAGTGTGTTTATTCATCTGATTAGCATACTGTTCTTTTGGGTTTATGAAAAAATGTATCCAACAAGAGTACCTCATACAGAACATTATACACCGTCAACAAACTATTACATACTGTAACACAGCAATACAGACGAGCAAGATCTTGTATAACGTTTGACTTTGGTTTGTGACCTTGACCTTGAAGCTGGGTTGATGAAAAGTGTATGTGGCACACCACACCATCTAGTGACGACGCATATGTGTATGAAGTTTAGTTAAATTGTTATTAAGATAAGATAAAATAAGATAGAACTTTATTGATCCTGCAGGAAATTGTTGTGCCAGAGTTGCAGTACAAAGGAACATACACAAGGAATCACACAAGATATAAAAATACCAGCTTTATACCAAAAATTAAAATACCCAAATTATTATTATTATTATTATTATTATTATTATTATTATTATTATTAT